GGACAAATAAACTTGAGTTAAGGCTCATTCATCCTGATCAACTGACAGGTATAAGCGAGGAGCTGCCAGTGACTAGTCCTTCACTCTGAGACCAGCCTCTGCCAGCCACCTCTCTGCACAAGGCCAGAGCAACTTGAGGGTTGATGTGAACCTCTTCAACCCAAAGGACCCAAGTCCCATGGATTTCTAGAACCCAACAGCATTTATTTGCCCATGATAAACCCCTGTAGAGAGTGGCCAGGGTTAGCACAGGCACAGAACCCACTAAGAAGGTCCTCTCTGCAACTTTTTGTCCTGGGTGAGGATAGAAATACCTGCATGTGGGAAATGAATGAATGCTCAGTCCTTCATTCTTTCTTTATGATACTTTATTCATCCTATACAATGGGTTTGTTGCTGAGGTCACTTTATTACTGAGATGCATGTCAAGGACTGGCAGTCAACCCGGGCCCATTTGTCTGTAACCACGAAAAACTCTCAGCACCATCCAGAATGTCTGTCTAGCACATGCCCCCACTGGGGGCATGCCACAGCATGGAAGAACTGCATACATAATGGATTTATCTTGACAGCATCCTTAGATGGTTGTGAAACATTAGCTCTTCAGACAGAGAACAGACAGACATGCATTCCAAGCAATATTAAATGGAGGTTAAGAATTTCTGAGTAACAGTCATCTATTACACAGACGGGGGCTGAGATAGCTAATACATATTGCAAAGGTCAAACAAGAACCTCAGTGCTTCTGTTCAATTATCTCTAATTTTACACAACCTAGTTCGAAAAAAAATTCTGCAACTTTATGTTCCCACTTGAAAAATATTTTTTCTCCTAAATTCTACCGCATCTTTTCCTAAATTCCATAGCACACTATAAAGTGTCTCCATTTCTGATACCTGTTTTATGTTTTCAAGTATGATTGTACAAAACATTTAAAAGCTAATCATATTCGATCTTTTAGAAGCCGAAAATTTAAAAAAAAAACAAAACCACCAAACCCTAGAATAACATATGTGTCACATTTATTGCATTTTCTTCATTGCTTTGTTAGTTCAAAGTCTTTACTTGCTTTTAGTCTGGTAACTTCAGTGTTTAAAATCATTTTGTGTCCTCTAGTGGCAGCCCTGCCAGGCACGCCGAACTGCTGCTCTGGGAGGATTGGGAATTAGACATTACAGTTACAGATGATGTAGAAATGGAAGAAAAACAGTTTATTACCCTTTTAAGTGAAATTTATTATCCATCTCTATAGTTCAAAAAAATTACAGTTGTTTCTAGTTATAAGATAGTACCACCAGCAAAACAAAATCTAGAGATATAACATAAATAGCAACAATAAAAAATCACATACTGAGTAAGCATTTAACTGAGTTTGCTCTTAGAAATTATATCGATGAAAATTAGACTGTAGCCATTTCCTTGCACAAAGCACTATTCAGTGTGTTTCCTACTAGGAAATTGTCCACTATGAAGATGCACAGTTTTTCCAGGGTCCACAAAGGGGTATCGTCATAATGGTGACAGTGAAAAGATGAAATGCCACCAAAGCTTCATCTTCTCTCATGGAAAATCACTTTGATTTTCTTACTAAAGCAACAAAATGATATCATAGAGGAAAATTAATTGTGCTGGTTTTGGCTGGGATAGAGTTAATTTTCTTCACAGTATCTAGTATGGAGCTATGTTTTGGATTTGTGCTGGAAACAGTGTTGATAACACAGGGATGTTTTAGTTACTGCTGAGCAGTGCTTACACAGAGTCAAGGCCTTTTCTGATTCTCACACCACCCCGCCAGCAAGTAGGCTGAGGGTGCCCAAGAAGCTGGGAGGAGACACAGCTGGGACAGCTGACCCCAACTGACCAAAGGGATATTCCATACCATATGACTTCATGCTCAGCATATAAACCTGGGGGAAGAAGAAGGAAGGGGGGGACGTTCTGCATGATGGCATTTGTCTTCCCAAGTAACCGTTACGCGTGATGGAGCCCTGCTTTCCTGGGGATGGCTGAACACCTGCCTGCCAATGGGAAGCAGTGAATGAATTCCTTGTTTTGCTTTGCTTGTGTGCGTGGCTTTTGCTTTACCTATCTCAACCCACGAGTTTTCTCATTTTTACTCTTCTGATTCTCTCCCCCATCCCATTGTGGGGGATTGAGCGAGCGGCTGTGTGGTGCTTAGTTGCTGGCTGGGGTTAAACCATGACATAACAAAATAAAGAAGGAAACATTTGGGGGCTTCAAGGAAAAGTTACCCGGGGGTGATACACATTTTTATTATTTTTGGTTTTAGAGCCTCTATTCATTCACTTTTTCTTAATTCAAGATAACCTAAACTCCTTACCTTTTCCCCAAAATATTCCCAAATTTTTTATTATAATAAAGCTTCTGCACCTGAGCAGAAAAATAAATCACAATGCTTTCAAACACCCCTTTCAGCATAGTTTCTCAGGGGTCTTGAGATGCCTAACTCCAAATGAAAATAATGAGATATCCCATACATAGACATCTGTAGCCATTTGGCTTTATTTTGGCTTTCAGTTTCACCCCCCAAATTACAAATCCCTAGGAACACATTAAATAATAAACATTTTCACTGAATTATAGCTTATCAGTCTCAATAGGATCAGAATAACATTCACTTTGTCTCTGAAAATTTAATTCCCAGTGAAGATGGTAGAAATTCCCAACCAAGCAAAGCATTCAGATACATGTTTTGTGCAGCTAAAATGCCACAAGTCAATATGTGCTATTCTTATTTTGAAATCCTTGCCCCTGCTAGTCTGAACAAGAAGCAAAGCTCAATCAGTCCAGCTCTTCTACTTGGTACTGTAGATGGTTACCAAGGGCCTAAAAAGTTGGCTTCTTCAAACCCTTTAAAAAATCTTTTTTAGGGTGATTTCTAATTTTGCAGGTTGATTTTCTTGAAGATAATCATTGAGTTTTTAAAAATGTTAATTTTAACATCCACAACAGATTGCCCGCACACAATGGTAATCAGAGTTGACTCACTGATGGGAGTGAGATGGAAAATGTAATTTCAAGCTAGTTATTGTTCCAAGTTCTCTTTGCAGTTTTGTCCACCAGGGAAATAATATAACACACTTTTTCCTTTCATAATTTTGCCTTATTGATTGTTAGTGCCTGAAAAAACATGACAGTTTCATGTAACTTAATTTTTGTTAAAATCTCAAGATAAAACTGGAAGATTTTAGAGAATAACTACTTCACTAGTTTACACTTATTTATTTAAGAAATATTATTTTCATTAGCTTTACAGATTTTATGCCTTCAAATTCTCCTGGTAGCAGTTTTTGTACCTGTTGAGCTTGACGCCTTTGCTTGTGTCCGTTTGAGATACAAATAATGAGACAGTAATTATTAAGAAAATGTCAGATCTAATGCACTAAGGGGGGCAGGGGGAAGCAGGACAGCTGCCACCTCCACCACTGCACCCAAGGAAGTAAGTCAGGCCCTCTGTTCAACTTTGTCCCTTCTTCCTGCCCTGGCCATGACAGCCTCAGCCTGTCAGGCATCAGCACAACTCCTCACCACTTGGAGCAGCAAAATCCCATTCCTGAACTGGCTTTGCAGCTGCGCAAGGCATCTTGTTCATCACTCCAGATTGTTCAATGAAACAAATCTTAAACGTGTCTATTTACACAAATCAAGTAGGTCAGCATCATTTCCAGTACTGATCACCTCCATGTGAAAAAGACTATTTCAGAGAAGACAACAATAATGATTAAGGGCATTGAAAAGTAAGATGAAAAGGGACTGAAAAGTTTGGGAAAGGAGTTGAATCAGATGCAGTAAAATGTATATAAAACAATAAATGGTACAGAAAAGGCAGATCAGGAACTAATTTTCCTGTAGTTTAACCTGTGAGGATTCATGTGAATGCACAAGACTGCCCAGATCAAATCATGATCAATGATAGGAGTAACTTTGGAAGGAATACAAAACCCCGATCACTTATCTTGATTTGCAATAGTCAGAATTTGGGATGAAATCTAAGACAGAGGTTAAACTGATCCACATCTACCTCCTGTTGGGGTTTTAGCCCTTACTCTAAGATGGCCACATGGGTGGAGGGCAGCATGCTGGACCTTGGATCAGGTACCATAGGAATCCCTGCATTTGGCAGAAGAGAACCACATCTGCATCAAAGGCAGACACTGACAGCACACTGGCTGCAGCAGCAGAGAGATGATGATCACTAGTCTTGACAGAAAAAGAGCTTTGGCAGTTCTAAGAGCGCTGATGCAGGGCTTGAGGAGCACCTCGGAGACTGCTGGGGGGTTAATTGTGACCAGGCCACGTCAGGGTGCTTCTACTAGTACCAAGTGAGCTGGCTGGGAAACCCAGAAGCCTTGATACAGAGTTGTTTGAAGTCAAGATCTTCAGCTGTACCATCCTGGGCAGCTGCCAGCTCTCTCTCAGGAGGAGACTGATGCTTCTCACTTTATCACTGATGTGGATATTCAGTATTGCTCTCTGTAAACTTGCTGCTGCAAATTTAGCACTTGGGTTTGGAGATAGTGGCACAGATGATGAAACATGAATGTGTTCCACTGGGCTGGCCACCGAGGAGCTGGTTGTGTGGTGAACTATGTGGTTCTTTGGGCACTATTGGTATAGGCTAATTAAAACAGATTTCCAGAGTTAAGCAGTGAAGGAATTTGGGGCTAACATGCTAGGCTGGGGTGAGCTGATATATTCAAAAAATGTTAAGTACACAAGCCAAGCAACAGTAATAGAAAAGTGCTATGATAATATATGCACTAACATTGGAAAAATAAAGGTCAGAAGAAAAAAGTGAACAAAAGCAAAGCCCAGGTATCAAACACTAAAACCAGTAATGAAAGCAAGCAGTGGGTCTTGTAGGATTCCAGTGAATCGCCCCCAGATGAAGACAAATTATTTGACACAAAGACCTTTGAGAAGTAACATACACTTTGAACTATGTCAGAGAAATAAACAAGAACTGCGTATCTGGCAGGATGTTGATGGGAAAACATGAAGACCTGGGGGCCAAACAGGCACAATCTCCTCCAGAGAACTTCTTTCCTAGCAGGGGCAAGAAGCTCACCACAACACGGCAAAGGCAGCGTTTACACCCAGGAGGAAGACAGCAGGCAGAAAAAAGTTTGTAGCCAGTGTGTGCCACACAAACTTTATTTCAAATTGGTCTTTAACAGGTAGAAATCTTGAGAGAAACTTGTATCCAGGGATCCAAAGACAGCTCATCATTAATGGGATCGGATCCATGTGATTAGACAACACAGGACCAGGTGCCACAGGAGTTATGAGGGGAAATGATCAGGGCAGGGAAAAAAGCACAGGGACGGGATTGAGGCTGTTCCACAGAAAACCAACATAAGCAGCATGATCACATTTTTCAAGAGAGATAAAATACACATTATCCACAACTAAAACACATGCTTTCCTAATTCTAACCTTACTTTTCTTGCTTCTTTGTAAGCAAGAATCAGCTGGAGGAGGACCACCAGAAACAGTGTAACCTTCCCATAGCATCTGCGTAATACACCTACTGCAGAAAAGTTCAAGAAGTGATGGCATAAATTCTTCCTTCTCACAACATGGAAACCCTGAAAAGAAAACAAAGCATCTGAGAAGACACACAAGCTTCATTGCCAAACCTGGAGAAGTGCTGAAACATCTTTGAGGGGGGTCAGAAGTAATCATCATGCATTTGAGTCGCAGAAATCTTGTAGACTTATGAAAATTTAATCAACAGATTTAAAGAGACTGAACTTGCAAGTATTAGAACCTGTAAAACTTAGTATAAAACACTCAAAACACGGCAGTTTGGAAACGCTACCAGATTATAACCGTGTTATTGTTCTGGCCGCGAGGCCGGAGTGCCTTTCTCGGGTGAGGGCAGAGGCCGTGGAGGAGAGGGTGAGCAGGTACATGGCTGGGGTTTGGCGCCCACACCGCGGCCGGTCGGACGCCAGGGGGCAGGCGGGGAAGGGGCGGGCCGGGCCCATCGATGGGGGCGGCCGCTCTGCGCTCGGCTCTTCCGTCCTGCCTCTCGGCTCTGGATTTGGGAAACTGGCGACCTGGGGCG